GCTGCACAGCCTGCTGCCTTTGGGCCTGTGTAGCTTCTGAGTGATCAGACTGTCCATGCTGGTAATAATGTTTCGGCTGAACACTGGATTTTTGGTCGGGTTCTCCAGCTTTATGACAGGTACTGTAATAAATGAATGCAAAACATTTGTAAGTGAAGACCTGATTTCAAAAAACTTCAGGTAAAAAAAAATAAAATGTGTAAAAATGAGCAAAATGGCAGATGTAGTTGCATGTGACTTTTAGGTATACAGCTGTGGAGCAGCATTCTGTTTTGTGCCCAGTCTTGACCAGAAAACATCTTGTTTTCTCTTGGTGTTCTTGTTTGAATCATTGGATGAATCATTCTCTCCTGTTTGTTAATGTCAGGGTGTGAAACAACAAAGAAATGTTAGAAATCAGGCCATTTAACAAGATGCCTCCCTCCCCCTTAAAGTCATCCAAAAATTGTTGTGTTTATATAAAGTGAATTGAAAATGCAACTCCACATCTTTACAGAGGATAAATACACTTTCATAAACATTTGTAGCTTTAGTAATGTTTATCCAAAGGTGTCCAGTCTGTTTCTTCATTTCCTCCTGTTTGTGCTGCTCTTTAGAAAACATCCCAGTGAGAAACTCAGATGTGGACTACAGACTCCTGGAAGCTGCTAAAGCCGGAGACCTGGACACTGTCAAGGTAGCTAGGCTGCATATTGTCACATTTTGTAAATGAGAGTGCACGTTGTGCCCTTCATGAGGAATATAAAAAGGAGCAATAATATGTATTGAAAGATTAAAGTCTGGTCCTTTTGGCCATTGCTGACATTTTGGTAAAGGTAATGGTCATGGGTACAATTGAAAATTAGACAAGGGGTACTGTATCTCTTTGTGCCTTTAGCCCAGTCTATCAGTATAACAATGTAGGAAATCCATTAAAGTTTTATTTCCAAATTAATTGCAGAGGTGCAGATAATAGGAGATAATTTGCTCTGAGAGAGTAAAAATATTTTTTAATTGTGTCATTAAGATTTAACAGAAATGTGTAATCATGTCCCTGTGTATATACCTGGCTGGCTGACGATCAAGCACGTTCTGAAGTTTATAAACCCTACAAGTGCCTGAAGCTAGACTGACACTGGCAGTTTATACAGACACCTGCTGAGCTTAGTGGCAGCGCTTATGCTAATGTGGCGGGTTAAAACCTTTATAATATCATTCATTAGTAATAACAGTTAATGTAGTGGCTGGCTGAAGTAGTGCATCTCATAATCTTGTTCTTACCAAAGACGCTATTTTGAAATGAACATGTCCTGAGCATTATCACCGTTCTTGTTGCCCTTACAGCGTTTTTTTTTTTTTTTTTTTTTTATGATAACAATCCAGGAGTATAAATTTAATTACAATTATACAGATGACATTGACTGCATTTCCAGGGCCAATTTATAGGTAAAAATAAAATAAGCATTTGCTGATTCATATTTTTCTTTATGATATAGGCCAACAGACATAAAAGGCAGCTAAGTGCACTCGGCACAAGGGACTCAAACATAGCAAGGATAATGTTGTTTGTCCTCCAAACAGTGATACAGGGAAACTATCAGTTCTGTTTCAGAAAGTCTCCAAAAACAAAATGTAGATAGTTTGCAGGTAAACAAAAGTTTGTATACCAGTGCTGCTGAGAGCCTAGCTTCACTCAGAGGAGAGTTTCACAGCCATAGGAAACTGCCCCAAATCTTAAAATGCACTATAGGTGTACCAAGACATTTTGAATGTGGAGGTGCACTTCAAAGCTGTAGACACTGGAATTACACACTCCATCCATGTACAGTAAGTACATGGTGCCGACAAGAACTTTTGTCAAAGTGAGACAAGGAAATGTATAAATCAGCAGGTGCACTAGCTGAACAATAAAAAGATGATTTATCTGCAGATTCTCCAGAACAAATGCTGTGTTTGAAATAAAGGGTAGCCCGTCTAGCCCATTAGTTTAAATTCACTGCTTGGTCTGAATAATTCAATAATATCCGTTAAGCTTTAAACTGCCCCACTCAAGGTTGGCTGTGGTTGGGTGTTTGTGTTATGGTACTGCACTGGGCCCACTCACGTTAAAAATGTAGCTGCTCATGATGCACTGACATATGTTTTGGATAAAACCACCCACAAAATGTCACAACGGAGTAGGATTCAGTAAAGTGTTTGACAGAAGTATCTGGTGTCAAGTGAAACTCTTCACCTGCTGAGACAGACAGCAAAAGGGGGTTATCCAGATGAAGAGGTACTGTCCGCTTGTGACATGTGACACTTTGGCAGGTTGGCAGGGGATCGTAGCGGAACAGAAGATTAGCTCTGGTCTGGCTTTCTGTCAGTCTCTTTTTACCTGATGCACAGACACATACAGTACAAGCATGTGGGTGAACAGTCTGGATGAGCTCCAGATTGACATTTTTAAGAAATAACACTTTGCACTATTTCTGGGCTGAATCTTCTCATCTGTTCAAATGTTGAGGAGGTTAGACTGAACTGTTAGACTGTGACTGTTAGAAAGACGGTCACCTGAAACAACAGGGCACAGACAGATTGTCATTCAGGAACTTCTTCTACATAATTAAATAAAAATCATCTGCTTTGTTATTTATTAGTCTACCACAGCATCATTTGGGTGAGAAGCATTCAGTTTTTTTTATCATTTATGATGTAGAAAAGCATCAAATCCTCATGTTCGAGACCTAGAACATGAGGAATTGGCATTTTTGCTACACTTCAAAGTTCTTGCACAGACAAAAATCAGTGCTGTAGACACAGAAAACAAAAAAGGTCACGCACACACTGCTCATCACTGGTACTCAGAAAAAGTGGTTTCTCACACATTCTCCCCATTTTTGCTTTAGATTGGTCGTTGTCTCGAACAAGCGAGATAACGGCCAATGATCCCGTCATCCTGGCCACACCTGGTTATCTCTACACTACCACTGTGCTTATTGTCTTTGATCTATGTGGAACACAAGTTCCACAAGGATCAATCAAAACTATCTCATTGTATGCAAAATTCATGTTACCGTCACCATGGAACAGGCTACAGTGTGAAAAGGTCTTCAAGAATTCACAGCTTTCGTTAAGAGTTTCAATACTGCTTCAGTGGCAGCTAAAGTGAGGGATAATGACTTTAGATTCGGAATTAAATCTACCAGGAGGATGGCTAATTTTCATCTGTTGTCCCTGTGTGCATAAAAATAAAATACAAGTTACATTACAATCTCAACTATGTATGGAATCAGTCAGGTGCAACACCAAAAAACAATAATATACAGTAAAACACAATAAAACATGAGCTATCAAACCTACATATATACTAATAAAAATGCTATACAGTATTATTGCAGTTGCTTTCTAAAATCCTTTTTGTCAGTATACATTTCATAGACATATTTTTCATCATAAATTGTGTATTATATTGTATATTTAACAATCTCAAGCAGTTTGTTGTGAAACACAATTGTTATAAAAATGGTTAACAGTGACAGCAGCTCAAAAGAAATTGGTATGTTGAAATACAAAAAAAAAGCAATTTTGAAATGTTTAAGACAGAAATATCCACTGATGATATGTGTATGTAGATTATAAATCACATGCTGCTGTTTTCCACAGGAAAAACATCTGTATGGTTTCCTACTTGTTACTTTTTTGGTCTCAACGTTAATCAGTAAGAAAATTGTTATTGCACTTGAACATGCAAAACATCTTGTACTTGATGAGAACTGTCTTGAGATGATCATATCTTTTAATCAAAAGCTTGTTCAGATGAAAGTTTTCTTTCCGCCCCCTCCAGTCGTTGTGTACGCCGCAGAATGTGAATTGCAGAGATCTGGAGGGACGACACTCGACTCCCCTTCACTTTGCTGCTGGTTACAACAGAGTGTCAGTGGTGGAGTACCTGCTGCACCACGGGGCCGACGTGCACGCTAAAGACAAAGGGTGAGATTCTTAATGTTGTGGTTAAATTTGGAGCAAATAGAAATATTTGATAGCATTAGAATTTAGAAATTGCAATTGAAAACATTTTGAGCTCTTTTGTTTTACTTCACAGATTAAAAAGTAATGTTGTTAATAATTTCTAAAACAAATTTCTTGCTGAAAGCAGCCTCTTTGTATGTATGTGATAGTTTTTTTTGTTTTTTTTTCCCCTTGGCAGTGGTTTGGTTCCCCTCCATAACGCCTGTTCGTATGGTCACTACGAGGTAGCCGAGCTACTGGTCAGACATGGAGCTTCAGTGAATGTGGCTGACTTGTGGAAGTTCACGCCTCTCCATGAAGCCGCTGCCAAAGGCAAATATGAGATCTGCAAACTGCTGCTCAAGGTTAGACCTGCAAGGCCTTTTCCTAACAATGATTCACTCTCAGTACCATGATTACACATAGAGCTCTAAGAATTAGTGAATTAATCAATGAGCAGTTTAGTCAATTATACTAAAATAATTTTTGGAAACTGTCTAAGTCCTTTTTCGAGCAAAATGCCAGACTTGTTGACATTTCTCTAATGTGAGAAACAGAAAAACAAGACATTTGAAGACATCACCATGGGAAATTGTAATGGACATTTCTTACATTTTAATATTTTATACACTAAAAGATTATTCAGGACAGTAGCTGTCAAATTAAATGATAATGAGAATAACTGTTAGTGGCAGCACTAATATCTGTCTTAGCATGGACAGTGGTAGGAATCAGCTGTTTGTAATGCACATGCACACATGCTATTTGTAGTAACCTACCATGATTGAAGTCTGCAGGACTCAAACTTGTAAATTTCATTGCTGTGCAGCTTTACCTCCATAATTAGACTCTCAACACCAGTTAAGGTAGTCAAGGTGAACAAACACAAGCGGCCCCCAGAGACAGACAAAGTCCCAGGTGTTCACATTAATGAGGACAGCGAAAACTTCTCAAAGAGAATAAAGAAAGCACACCTTAACAGATGCTTATGAGCTTTCCTCTGCTGTACGCTGCATAATATGCTGTAGCACTGACAGACCTCACAGGACCGCAACTGATTGTTTTCATTTACATGAATCTCTCAATTGTTTTTCAATTAATTGCTGTTTTGTTTTTAAAAAATTAGAAACTAATAAAAAAAAATGTCCATCACAATTTCCCGCAGCCAGAAATGACGGTCTTTAATTGCTTGTCTTTGTCTCACCAGTAGCTCAAACTCAAAAGATATTTAATTTACAATCATTGTCACAGTTGAGAAGCTGGAACCAGCGACTATTTGGCAGTGTTTACTTGATAAATGACTTTTGTTTTCGGAATTGCTGTAGATTTATTGACTAAATCACTGGCACTTTCAGCATTACAGTGTCATTTACTCGCTGCTACTCTGGGAAATCACTCAACATTTTGAAGGACTCACAGCACAGCAGCCAGTGCAGGCTTGTACACCCACATTCAAACTGAGGAAGAGCCTTTTCCCCAGGGCTGTCACCTTCTCAAACAATGCTCCCCCATTCCCTTTAAGCATAACTGTCATCCTAGCAACTCCACTGCACCATAAACTGCGTCCACACACCACCCACTGCATTATCAGGTTACTTTGTTAGCACCATACCACCAGCTCAAGTGCAGTTACTCTCAAAGTGATTGCTGCTGTGAACTGATGCATGCAGTACTTGTTTTCAGCCCCACCAGGTCAATCTCGCACTAAGCATTATGCAACTGACAGTGAGCGATAATTGTGACCTCTCCTGTTGCCCTTCTACAAATCTCATTTTTAGTACCTTTATCTTTATTATATTCTGGTTTCGTATTTCATGTTTTATCATTATGTTGTTTAATCTTACTGAATGCATCTGCTACAGATTGCTCCAAACTTATCCCACTGTGCTTGGACAGTAAATGGCAGTAAATTCATCTCCTGAAGCAGTGCATTTCCCCCTGCTGATGTGTGTGTTCATGTGCATCCTGTATGAATTCAACAGTGCTGATCTAATAATAATTTATACAGCCCCATATGGCGGCGACACAGTAGTGATGTAACCTTGTCTGGAGGTGTTTATGACTGGAAAAACAAAAACACATTCAGCTGTGAAACTGCAACATCTCACAGGATTCATTTGGACTCAGAGAGATGTCAGGCATTACACAACAGATATTTTCATATTTGGAATGTAATTAAAACTTGCAGAGAATACTCTTCACTGATTGGCCAATTTAAGGACATGTGACAGAGAGAATTCTGGTTCGTATTGTTGATTTAGATGTGCTGATTAACTCAGTTTTCACAGTGCATCCTGACGTCATTTACTGCAGATTACTTTGTGTTCTTAATGTTTGCATTTAAAAGACAGAACAGATTTGAATCTCACTAAGACACTCTTGTAAATAATATCTGAAAAGAGGATAAAGTGTGTGTGTTTATAGAAGGTGGTAACACCCACCTGTGGGACACTGTGTCCTGGGGTGGGGTACTCCTGTTATAGGTGTGTACTTAGCTCCGTTTTAAGACAACTTTAACAAATTATAAATAGTTTGAAAACTCAGAATTTCTTGATTCTGTTTATTCTACTAAATTCTTCTTTCAGTTGTTCCGTTCTTCTAGTAGTGATGTGGCGTCTGCTGAGGGGCTGTTAGCCTTGTCATTAGCCTCATCGTTCCATATGCATAGCATATGGTGAATAAAACAGATGAACCGTATTGCTCAATGCCATTATGTGGGATACAGTATGTGTAGCCTCATGTGCAGATAAATTCTGGTTAGTGCTCTCAAAACAGTCCTAGAGTCCAGGGATTCAGTTGCTCCTTCAGGTCTCACTTTCACACTTCTGATGGCTGGTTCACATCTTGTAATAAAAGGGCTGGAGGCAGCAGCTATAAACACAGACAGGAGATCGATTGTCGAAGGCGGTCGGGTCCGAAGGTACCGATTTTTGTTTGTATTTTTCACTCTGGTTGGAAGCTTCTGTGGTTTCAACAACACTTTGCATAGTGGTAAACTTTGGTTGGTATTTAAACCCATCATTGTGAGTCACAGCAGTGTCCTCATTTCTGAAACACAGGGGTACACAGACACACAAGTTAAGAGATTATTTCCACACTTGGGTGTTAATTTGCCATGGCCTTGGGATGTAACTGTTCTTTCTTTTTGAATAAACAACTCCAGAGTTCAGCAGTAGGTTTTCCTTTATCTCTTCTGTTTGTTGTCAACTTTCTGTTGTTCCTTTTTGAGTTGGATTTGTGCTCAGAATAAAACTGATTCATTGCCTCCCAGTCGTGATATTTTGTGGGGAGGGACCTTTTGAGAAATATGCCTATTAGCATTTTCTTTGTTATGGAAGAAGTGTGAGAACATAATGCATTTCTCCTCAGTTCGAGTGAAAATAATCTTATTAACACTTGGCATGAAATGTGTGAACTTGAGTGACTTGTGCATAGCTGGATGTTTGGGTGTGGTGTGTCACTGTCATGCGAGAGACCAGTTGTCAGTTAAGCTGTCTTCCTAGAGTCCTTGTTGATAAAATTAGAGCTGCTTTTCTGTAGGTTGCATTATTTGTCTTTTCAGTCACTGTGGTCCTTGCTATTCATGAAAACTTTAACTAACTGAATGTAGGTTGGATTCAGTCAAAGAGTAACCAAAGAGATGCTTATTTATATGTAAATATTCCCAATTATTTCGATGCTGATTTTCCTGGATAGAGAATCCGTGACATTTAGAATGTGATTACAGCGGCAGCAGAGAGATGATAGAAACTGAGAGGCAGGACAGAAAAATCATAACATCGCTATGTTCAAAAGGAGGAATACAGCCACGAGAGATGTTTAACGACAGCAGTGGATACTCAGGGGAGAGGTCCCACAGCATCCATCTTTAAAGAGTGGACTTCAAAACCTACAGTGAAATGACGAGTTAAACCAAAACCCAGGAGACAGCTGACTGATGAAAATGTCTGCCCCCCACTCCCCCAATCTCCAGGGTATGTGGTGTTTTCCACTTCACTGGATATCCAGTCCTTACCTCTCTGCCTTGGTTTGGTTCCCTGTCTTCCGTTCTCTGGTGAATTACCTGCCTCCTCTTCTCACTCATCACTTGTCATCTTCTCTTCCTCATCTGACTGATGTGCTTCCATGGGGTTTCAAACAATAATAGATTTTGAAGACTGATATTTTCTTGATTTACAGTGGGTACGGAAAGTATTCCGACCCCCTTAAATTTTTCACTCTTTCTTATATTGCAGCCATATCATATGCTAAAATCATTTAAGTTCATTTTTTTCCTCATTAATGTACACACAGCACCCCATATTGACAGAAAAACACAGAATTTTTGACATTTTTGCAGATTTATTAAAAAAGAAAAACTGAAATATCACATGGTCATAAGTATTCAGACCCTTTGCTCAGTATTTAGTAGAAGCACCCTTTTGAGCTAATACAGCCATGAGTCTTTTTGGGAATGATGCAACAAGTTTTTCACACCTGCATTTGGGGATCCTCTGCCATTCCTCCTTGCAGATCCTCTCCAGTTCTGTCAGGTTGGATGGTAAACATTGGTGGACAGCCAATTTTCAGGTTTCTCCAGAGATGCTCAATTGGGTTTAAGTCAGGGCTCTGGCTGGGCCATTCAAGAACAGTCACGGAGTTGTTGTGCAGCCACTCCTTCGTTATTTTAGCTGTGTGCTTAGGGTCATTGTCTTGTTGGAAGGTGAACCTTTGGCCCAGTCTGATGTCCTGAGCACTCTGGAGAAGGTTTTCGTCCAGGATATCCCTGTACTTGGCCGCATTCATCCTTCCCTCGATTGCAACCAGTCGTCCTGTCCCTGCAGCTGAAAAACACCCCCATAGCATGATGCTGCCACCACCATGCTTCACTGTTGGGACTGTATTGGACAGGTGATGAGCAGTGCCTGGTTTTCTCCACACATACCGCTTAGAATTAAGGCCAAAAAGTTCTATCTTGGTCTCATCAGACCAGAGAATCTTATTTCTCACCATCTTGGAGTCCTTCAGGTGTTTTTTAGCAAACTCCATGCAGGCTTTCATGTGTCTTGCACTGAGGAGAGGCTTCCGTTGGGCCACTCTGCCCTAAAGCCCCGACTGGTGGAGGGCTGCAGTGATGGTTGACTTTCTTTGACTTTCTACAACTTTCTCCCATCTCCCGACTGCATCTCTGGAGCTCAGCCACAGTCATCTTTGGGTTCTTCTGTACCTCTCTCACCAAGGCTCTTCTCCCCTGATAGCTCAGTTTGGCCGGACGGCCAGCTCTAGGAAGGGTTCTGGTTGTCCCAAACGTCTTCCATTAAAGGATTATGGAGGGCCCTGTGCTCTTAGGAACCTTAAGTGCAGCAGAAATTTTTTTGTAACCTTTGCCAGATCTGTGCCTTGCCACAATTGTGTCTCTGAGCTCTTCAGGCAGTTCCTTTGACTTCATGATTCTCATTTGCTCTGACATGCACTGTGAGCTGTAGGGTCTTATATAGACAGGTGTGTGGCTTTTCCTAATCACGTCCAATCAGTATAATCAAACACAGCTGGACTCAAATGAAGGTGTAGAACCATCTCTGGGATGATCAGAAGAAATGGACAGCACCTAAGTTAAATATATGAGTGTCACAGCAAAGGGTCTGAATACTTATGACCATGTGATATTTCAGTTTTTCTTTTTTAATAAATCTGCAAAAATGTCAAAAATTCTGTGTTTTTCTGTCAATATGGGGTGCTGTGTGTACATTAATGAGGAAAAAAAATAACTTAAATGATTTTAGCATATGGCTGCAATATAACAAAGAGTGAAAAATTTAAGGGGGTCTGAATACTTTCCGTACCCACTGTAAATCAATTGCTATGTAATGCTTTGCAGTTGGTATTATTTGCCTTATTGTCTTGGCATTTTAAGGAACAGAACCTTAAGATGGAGTAGCCTCTACATTTTGATTATAGTTGTTAGTGAGCATAGATATGTGGATATACAGGTACAGTATGGTTCTTTAACATATTTACCTATTTTCTCTCTCATCTTTCTTTCCTTTACACCACCGTCCTCCAATTTGGCCTCCTCTCTGTAGCATGGAGCAGACCCCACTAAGAAGAACCGAGACGGGAACACTCCTCTGGACCTGGTGAAGGACGGGGACACAGACATCCAGGACCTGCTGAGGGGAGACGCTGCGCTGCTGGATGCTGCTAAAAAAGGCTGCCTTGCCAGGGTGCAGAAGTTATGCAGTCCTGACAACATTAACTGTCGGGATACGCAGGGACGCAACTCCACTCCACTGCACCTCGCAGGTAATGTGTGTGCAGAAACACAAAGCTGTGCACACATTCACAAACACCTTCCTGATTGTGTAAAGCCTACTTTGCACATTATAATGAATGATGAGCCAAAGGTTTTTAGTTACTGTTTGGCTGAGGTTTGCAGGATCTAGGTGAATTCAGGCATAGTATATTTGTTGGTGCCAGCCACTCTGGCTCCAGTGTCTCAATTAAAGCCAACGTTTTAGGAATTTGTGTCAGTGCAGTGCCAAGAACAATATTCAGACAACTTAAGTCATGCCAGTTAAATACATTAAATGCATTCTCTCCTCAGTACAAACCACAGGCTGTGTGCTGTAAACTGGGAACAAATATAAAATACCAAGTTGAAATACTTTATAAAGTATGCTACATCCTTTAATAAAATAGTTCAGGTGTCATGCTTTTGTTATATTTTCTTATCAAGGTTCTCATCAAGTGATGTGACAAACTCTGATGTGAGTAACGTGGAGATTACTGTCTGGTTTTCCTACAGTTTCTTTGGACTTCTCTTTTGACCAGGACATTCTTGTGAAAAAGATTTTTAATCTCAGTGAGGTTTTCTTTGGAAAATTAAATAGAAAACCTTTAGAGAATATTATGACTGGTCAGAGCTTTTGTATGATAAATAAAAAAATGTTCTGTGGCATGACTGTGACTTTTAAAGTAAAAAAAAAAAAACTGTTGAAAAACACATTGAAGGTTTCTGCTTTTTTTTCATAATCTGACCATTTAGACAGACACACACCCACACACCCTTCATGTACTTTCTTGAAAAAGATGATTATATGCTGCTACACTGCAACAGATGTAGGCTGACATCTTTTTTTTTTCTTTTCCATTTTTTCGTTCATTCCTTCTCCTATTTCCCTCTGTGTGTCGCTCCTCCATTGTCTTTCTTTCTGTCTTGCTGTGTTTTCCATACAACCCATCCATTGCTTTCTAGCCGGCTATAACAACTTGGAGGTAGCAGAGTATCTTTTGGAACATGGAGCCGATGTGAATGCACAAGACAAAGGAGGGCTGATACCTTTACACAATTCTGCTTCATATGGGGTAAGACACATGCAAACCCACACAAAATACCCCCACACTGCAAACATGAGTTCAGTTCACAAGTTCGATTGGGAGATACTGTTCTTACCGCATCTCATTATTATTATTACACATACAAACATGGCTAAACATGTTGGTACTCTTAAATCCTCGCTGAAACAATGCTCTGTTCTTCCTGAAAACTGCTAAATGCCTGTGGTTTGCCATAGAATAACAGACGCTGTGAAAAGAGCCTAATTATTACTACAAGGACCTTCCAAAGCAGCCTGAACAAAATTACTGTTGCCCCTTAGAACAGGTGACAAATAAGGGGATTGTAGTGATTAACCCTTGTCATCAGTTAGTATCAAAGGTGGTTTCAATCTTATAAACAGTCATTAAGCTTATTTAAATAAAGAAACGTCCTCATTGTGCTGTTTGATATTATTGTATGCACCACACTGAACATGGAGAAGAGAGAGAAAAAGTTGGCTGATGAGATGAGCAAGAAAATAATTGTCAAGGTAAAGGCAACGCGACCATCTCCAAGCAGCGTGACGTTCATGTGACAACAGCTGCTAATAGCCACCTGCAGACTGAATTGAAATTTAGTTCGAAAATACCACAGAAACTTTCACAAGAGATACAAGTTGAAGGTACAACAGTGTTCAGTTGTCGCACTACACATCACTTTCTGAATGTAGTTGGCTCCGTGCAAGAAGACCCAGGGAGACCCCACTTCTGAAAGAGACATAAACATCCAAACCTGACTGGTGTTTTCTAAAAATACATGTTGACAAGCCACAGTACATCTGGCAGAAAGTCATTTGGACAGGTGAAACAAAATGAGAGTTTCCTGGTGAGTCTCATCAGCTCTATGTTCACAGAAGGAAAGATTGAACCTTTCAAAGAAAAGAACACTGTCCCCACTGAGGAACATGGAGGCTCAGCTATTGTATGTTATGGGGTTGTTTTATCATGTTTATCAAGGCATTCCGGAGTCATATCTACAATCCAGTGTCCAAGAACTATCTCATTCTAAGCTCCTGGCTGCTCCAACAGGATATTGACTCAAAACCTAATCCAACTGAACATCTATGAAACTCACAGTTGGGAGAAGACACCCCTCTGACCTGAGAGCAATGGAGCAGTTTGCTCAAGAAGAGTGTGTCAGACTGCCAGTTGAGGAGTGCTGCAGTGTCATCAAGAGCTACAAAGAGGGCCTGATTGTAGCGACTGCCTCAAGAGGGTGTTAAGAAATATTAGGTTAAGATTATTAATATTATTTTGCTCAAGACATTTACTATTGTTGCATTATTTTAAATATATAGCATCAAAAATAAGGAGCAATTTGTCTGTTCTGATAAATACAGAATAGGTAGATAATTATTTTAAAGGGCACCAACACCTTTAGGCACATCTTAGTTCCTCTGAATAAGTGCATATATGTAATTCTTTATCAGGAGTCCTTTGAGTCACATGATGCTTATAGACAGACAGCAGTCTGGTACTGAGCTCTGTGGTTTGGAGACACAAACATAAGCACACACTTAAGCATCTCCTACTATTACTTAGAAACAAGCTACATTTAATGCTAAAACCAGCTGGAGAGATGATGAGGGAAAAGAATAGAAAAGAAGGAAGAAAGGGTTGGTGGTGGAGTTGATAATTCATACAGTTCACATTGCAGAGAATCAAACATTATGTATTACTGATCACAATTTTATACATTCTTCAGATTTTATACCTTTGGCTCGTGTTAAATGCTTCTATTGCTGTTGTCCCTTTTCCCTCATCTCACCACCTCCACTCCTCTCTGCTCTCATTTCGCTTCTCTGTGCTGTCTGTCTCATTTTCATCTGTGTCCATCATCACCACCTACTCACTCTTCCTCTTTTCCTCTACCTCCTCTCTTCTGTCTAGCACGTGGACATAGCTGCCCTGCTTATCAAGTACAACACGTGCGTCAATGCCACAGACAAGTGGGCGTTTACTCCCCTCCACGAAGCGGCCCAGAAAGGGCGGACTCAGCTCTGTGCTCTGCTGTTGGCCCATGGAGCTGATCCCACTATGAAGAACCAGGAGGGACAGACACCGCTGGACTTGGCCACGGTACAGATGGCTTTGCCAAAAATCTTTCATAGTATCTGTCTGAATGTCTTCATTTTAGAATCCTCACATGTGTTATGAGTCAACACATTTCATTAGCTTGCTTGATTGTGATTGATTAGTCATCCTGCTCCAGACAATGAAGCACAAATGGCAAATTATGCACAAATTTGGATGGTGGAACAGGTAGCTTCCTAACTCCTTGCACCCTAATGAGGCTTTCTAATAGCTACAGTAGAGTCTATAGTCACCCAAGGAACAGGTGACTGCAGGTAAAACACAGTTTGAGAGTTCCCCTAGAAGACAACACATATCTGTAGCCGAGGTACACAGGAAGAAAAAAGCAGCTTGTCGTGATAACATTAGCTCTCTGTTCTGCTACTGGAACAGTATTCTGCTGGGTAGTTCCATCCCCCTACTGATGGTATATGTCAGTGTAAAGACCTTACTGTACATGTACAATAACTTCCTGAAAATTAAGGCATGTTATTATTATGCTAACCATTAATTTGTTGACCATCAAACTGAACCTCAGCTACACACTTGTAGGGTACTTCAACAACAACTTGTGTATTCCCACTGCTTCTTCAGAATGAACCGAGTACAGTTAGTGCAGGGTTGCAGGTTAGTAATGGGGAAAAAACATCTCAAAGCAGGGACCTGTGCCCACTCCATTTCAAATCTGGTCTACACCTTGACTTTTGTTTTCAATTTAGCATTTGGCCTGAGGACCCTTCTCAATGCTTGACTTCAGAACTAGCAAAAGCAAGCATCCTGTGTGCACCCTGATGTAACATCCAGAAATGACAACAAACATGACATGCTATGTTGTATTGCTTTGCTTTAATTGGCTCTGGGTACCTAGCAGGGATAAAGTTGGAAAGGTACAGTACTAGGAAACAGGGCAGGCAACTTTCATTAGTCATTTCAGGCCCCAACTGTATGTGTGCAAGAGTATTGTTTGAAAAATAGAATACATAAACAGTACTTCTGCTTCTGGTCCTACTGTCCATCTCTGTCCATTTCAGGCTGATGACATCAGAGCATTGTTGATTGACGCCATGCCACCAGATTCCTTGCCAAGCTGTTTAAAACCACAGGCCACTGTGGTAAGTGTCCACACACTTTATTACAAGTTTTACTGTAAGTATTAGGTAAACGGAGAGCTTTCTGCTGAAACATGTCCTGTGGTGATTGGTATTTCTTTGTACAGGAAGAGAAAATCTGAAGTGTGCTCATTTGTGTTGTGCAGGAACAAACACTGAACAAGTTAACAGTTTTTAATAATCACAGCTTTTTTGTTGCATGTGAGATGTTATACTAGAAGTTGGAGCTTAAGCTAAAGCACATAAGAGTCCAAAGTGTCTGGTGAAGTGTCACTTTAAAGCACCTGTAACAGCAGGTTACATCACTGTCTTCTGACTATAACATTTGCCCCACTGGCCTTATAAACCAAATCTCTTCTCTCTGACTCTCTCAGGTGAGTGCAAGTGTGGTAAGTACAGGTGCAGCAGGGGGTGTGGTCATCTCTCCCTCTCCATCTCCATCCTGCCTATCTGCAGCGAGCAGTATAGACAACCTGACCATGCCCCTCAGTGACATCACAGTAGCCGGGGCCACTGGAACAGCTGACGGAGCGTCAGGGTCTGACAGGAAGGAAGGAGAGAGTACGTACAAATACCCAAGTTGTGTCCTCAGTCAGAGGCTGTTTTTTTATTTTTACTAATGATGATGTAAACAAAAGTAAGGGCTCCTGCACTTTGTCTCTGCAGCTCTGCTCGACATGACCATCAACCAGTTCTTAAAGAGTCTGGGCCTGGAACACCTCCGAGACATCTTCCAGCGGGAACAGGTACACACAGCGTTTGTGTCTGGGAAAGGTGTGAAAAAATAAATTGGTAGAGAGAGGGGAAGATACGAGGAAACTATTTCAAGTAGCAGCCAAGTCAGTCTAGATTTGTTTCCCTTATGTAAATATCCAACTTTGTAATAATTAGTTTTGAGCTTAAACATCTCTCAGGGTTACATTTTAATGCAGATTTGTCTAAAAACTAATTTAGCTTTTACATTTTTTTACATTTGTCTTTTTTGTTTTATGAATGTTCATTTTATGTAAACAGAAAAAGATATAGAGAATGAGTTAGTGGGACAGAAAGAGATGGTGACGCATAGACAGAAATGGAGAGAGAACTGAAAGAGACAGGCATGAAGAGAAAGGTGGAGAAACAGAAGACAGAAAAAGAGTTGAGGTGACAAGAGAAAACATTCAGGAAGAGACAGAAATAGAAAGGTGACAGTTAGTAAAAGCCTGAGCACAGAAAGCAGTGTGGGAGCAATAAGGACAGAATACATGTTACATTTATTCTTTGTCCCTCTAAAGGGAAACAAGTCCTAATATTGTCACCCCTGCATTTCTGTCAGATAATGCACCACTTCTCCCAGAAAGATGTTGCAGTCACAAATGTTTTGGTGTTCTCATGCTTATTTCTTTTTTTGCATTGGAACAATTCAAAAAAGCATTTGTCATAAATGCATACATTCTGTTAAAGGTGGTGTTGTCCTGGACTGCATTATATTTAGAGAGGTCTCTATATTGTGTCCTTCCCAGCTACATACGATAGGGTCAGAATATTAGGAACACCTCTGAATATAATGTAGTCCAGTACACCACCACCTTTAACGGTGACCTCAATAACATTTAATTGAATTTATATATTTGACCAAAAACAAACATTTTGAGCGTCATAAATACAGTTAAGACTAATAAAGTGGCTGGTGAGTGTACTGTATATAGGGACAGTCTAGTGTCCAGATTTAACCCTTTCATGTGACAAATTTTGCAAAAAAGAAATTGGTACCAGAAAATAGATATTTTGTTCGACATGGCTGACTGCTGTTTGTCACTGCTCAGAATAAATAAGATGGCAGCCTGAATAACCAGGCTGATGTGTAGTTTTTATTAGTTTTAGGTGATTGCGTCAGATTGGGTATGACAGCCTCCTTTCCTCTGTTAGAGAGATCATACAGGTTCAAAGCTTAAGATTTCATCTCTTTGCTTTGATTTGATTTCTGAAACAAAACGCAAAAGTTTTATATGAACTTTCGGTGGCAGAGAAAATTGTGGTGAATGTTTTTTCCTGCCTGGTTCCTGTGTCTGTAAATTCCCAGCAGAGTTATTTAGACTATGATGATTAACACCTGTAGCAGTGATCACAGGAGCACAGTGAAAAGTAGGTAAAGGTTACTGTTTGAATAGCGCTGTTATCAGGATCCATCATGAATCTCATCTCTGCTCTCCCTGAACAAACCCGCAAACTTCACCATCATCAATTTGCATATCAATAGCTTGATTACTGCCGTCCATTCATTCACTGACCTTTTTCTTCATGCAGCTTCGGTCTCATGAATATTTGTCAGACCTGTTCTCTCTGCAGTATCTTAGACTTCATTGTTGGCGGTGTTCGTATTACAAATAAATTGAATTGTATTTTATGTTTAAGCTACAGCGTTCTGCAGTTAATGTTGATAGATTTATGGCTAGAGCAGTTATTGCACAGTGAGAGTATAAAATGTTATTTTTCTAACAATTTACATTATTTTGGCAGCAGACAGCCATAAGCAAGAGTGATGTGACTTGTCGTTTCTGGGCAGATTTCGCTGGATGTGTTGGCAGACATGGGTCACGAGGAGCTGAAAGAGATTGGCATCAATGCATATGGTCACAGACACAAACTAATCAAGGGCATCGAGAGGCTGCTGGGAGGCCAGCAAGGTCAGAAAAAACACAAACTTAACAATATCAGCTCACCAGTCTTTAGATTTACCTCATGAGCTTTATTTCACTAAACATTGAAGCCAAGAACGGGAAGGGGGGGGGGGAGAAAGACATCGGATTAATTGTATTGAAATGAATATTTAATCTTAAACATCACCGAAAATGCTAAAACTTATGATTGTGACAGGACACACAAACATCTATACAGCAAAGTATTAGGTTATACATGTATATACCTGTAATATTTGAATAAAAATAGCTTATTAGGCCTCAAACCAGCCATTAGAAGTGATTGTACTTGGATCACAAATAAGAGTACATGACCTTTAGGCCAGATACCCAAAAGGTGTTGTCACCTATTCCTTGTCTTGGTTCATTCTGTCCTGATTGATATTCAAAATGTGCGTCGGTAGGTGCAAACCCATATCTGACATTCCACTGCTCCAGCCAGGGCACTGTGCTGATCGACCTGGCACCGGACGACAAGGAGTTCCAGTCTGTGGAGGAGGAGGTATGTGAACACACATGCACGACCTAACCAAAAAAAAAAAAATACATATGCATAAATTTTTAGCTATAAAATTCAGCCATCTGCCTGAGGACACACTACACACTCTTCAGTACAGTAACACAGCACTATACTAGCGATGGGCATTTCAAGCTAAAATAAAGTGTCCAGTGTTCAGCAGTATGCTGCTCACGTGTTACACTGAAATCTGTGACCCATCGGATTTTGACAGCGCTGGTGCACATTTTTTTATCATTTGTTGCATCAGTGAGTGTGTACATAAATGGCATAAACTAATCCAAGTCAGACCTACGCCCTTATGTTAATGTTAGCGGATTGGTTTCACAGTAGAAATGACTCATGATTTTAACGGAATGTAGCCATATTGTTTCCGCTTCTACTGGACTGCCACTGTTTGCCCAGTCCATGTAAATGAAGGGGAGAGATTGACACAGCAGCAGAAAACATCTTGTTGGTGATTGACATAACAAGGTGAGTGACATTTTCTAAGAAGTACACATACCCAATGTCACTCTACTGCACCTGCAAAACAATTGTCAATCACCAACAAGATGTTTTCTGCTGCTGTGTCAATCTCTCCCCTTCATTTACATGGACTGGGCAAACAGTGGCAGTCCAGTAGAAGCGGAAACAATATGGCTACATTCCGTTAAAATCATGAGTCATCTCTACTGTGAAACCAATCCGCTAACATTAACATAAGGGCATAGGCCTGACTTGGATTAGTTTATGCCATTTATGTACATGCTCTTCTTCTGGCTCACTGTCAATGCAACAAATGATAAAAATGTGCAACAGTGCAGTCAACTCTTCACTGATAAAGTGACTGCTAATCCATATTTTGTGCACAAGTCTACAACACCAGATATCAATTTTTACAGTATTAAGAAAAAAAAAATAGAAACTAGTTTGAGTTGTTAGTCCAGGTAGTCTTCGGATGCCACGTTAGCTCTGAACATGAAAACAGTCCTGAGATGCTGAAGTAAAAGAAAAAAAAAAAAAGAGCTTCTCTGATGCAGTCCAGAGAGCAGCATGATTCACACCTGAAGATCACAATACTGTCCCTTGAAAATGCATTTTATATCCCACACATTTCTCCTTTTCACTTTTAAAGTGTGCATATGACTTTGATCATCCTCTGTTTATTTCCTCCTCAGCTACAGAGCACTATCAGAGAACACCGTGATGGAGGCAACGCAGGCGGAGTCTTCAGCCGGTACAATATCATTAAGGTAAATCTCAAAAATGCAGACAGGGAGCGGTTGACCATAATTAAAGGAATTTTATCAATTCTAAGTTTGATGTTGTGACTTTCGCAAATCAAAAAAATGTTACCTTTTTATTCAAAGCACATCAAACTTTTCTTTTTTCACTCTTCATCCTTCCTTTTGTCCTGTCCTCCCTCTGACTGCAGATTCAGAAAGTGGTGAATAAGAAGCTGCGAGAGAGATGTTCACACAGACAAAAGGAAATCGCAGATGAGAATCACAACCACCACAATGAGCGCATGCTCTTTCATGGTACATAAGCACCAGATAAAATGTAGGCCATCGTGGTGGGTTTCTTGTAGAGAAACAGACCCCCAGAAATCCTTCCCAAACACAATGAATTAAATGAATTCACTTTCAGAAGAGAGAAACCTGATCTAATCGGGGGGGCCAAGGATAAAATGTGGTTGATATGAAAAGATCTTAGACCTTTTTCCATAGAAGACACTTTGATTTGTCACAGTAGAAACAGTACAGGTGTAGTTGACCACCACCACCGTGGCAGAGTTCCATTAAATGTCTCCACTTACTAAGCATGCACGATCCTGAGAATGGCTCACTTTACAAATTATACCCATGTTTTTCCTACAATGACATGTCAAAATGAAAAAGCACTGAAAAAGGACTATAAAGAGGAAAAACCTGTGGTGTCATGGTGGTGCTGATAGTTAGCAGCCACGGTCCAAACTGAAATATAATAATGTCCTAAGAGGGAATGTAACTAAGTCTCAAACCTATTTACAAAAATTGTGCTCCAAAGACAAAGTATAATTGAAATAGCCAATTATCTGTGAATCACATTTTTAAAAAGTAATACTGATTTTCAAAAAAAAAAAAAAAAAAAAAAAAAAAAAAAAAAAAACATTCTGGTGGTGTTATTGCGATATACCATGTGATTACAGCTGATCAGAGCGTATGAGCACCTCTCTCTACCTTCAGTACAACCCTGCACAGACATCTATGGCTTGCTGTGCTGGCTATGTAGAAAACTGAACTGTTGTCTACCACACAAGTATTCATTCTGCTGTTCTGCAAGTTTGATAGCTGCTAGCCAGCTACAGACCATATTTCCTGTAGATTGTGTTTTTCTCACCAGCAACACCTATTGTTTAGGAGAAGACTGCAGCGAGTCAAGCGCTCATCAAGCACAAGTAAAAAAAACAAAAAACAAAACTACTCTATTAAACATTACAGCTGTTGCACACCGTGGCCAATGTGTCGAACATAACTGCACTTTTTAGTCTCCACTCTCAAGGTGTTTCCCCCTTCAGTACAGTCAGAAAAAGGTTAATGAGGCATGTTTTTACAGAAGTGCTCCTACAGCAGTAGTGGTCTGTAAGCAGACCTGTACACGTTTTTTTTTTTGCAGTGAAATACAAAACCGGTCTTTACTCACTTTCTCTTTTCTCCTGCCAGGTTCTCCCTTCATCAATGCCATCATCCATAAGGGCTTTGACGAGCGTCACGCCTACATCGGCGGCATGTTTGGCGCTGGCATCTACTTTGCAGAGAACTCCTCCAAAAGCAACCAGTATGTGTATGGGATAGGCGGAGGCACAGGGTGCCCCACACACAAAGACCGCTCCTGCTATGTGTGCCACAGGTATAAAGTCTTACTGGATTATATTGAGAAAAACTGTGCTTTCTAGAGAAACAAGTTACTTTTGCCCTGTGAAAAAGGAAAGAACTACTGGTTAGTACCTCTGTCCAAATTCCATACTGTGTCCCAGTAGCCCTGCATAGTAGGAACAGCACATTAGTTAACAATGGCTTGGTTCCATCAGATACCCCAGTAAGACATGACAGTGAGCTAGTTGGTAAAGGACAACTGTTTACTCAGAGTTTTATATGTGCTTTTGATGGACCTTCCTGTCCCACTGTGCAATACAAAAAGGAAGAGGAGGTGCTTTTCGCATCTTAATATAGTATATACTATGATGTAGTATGGAATTGGGTCATAAGTAAAAATAATAGATGCATTTTTTGTAACATGGAATCACTGTTACAGCAGATACAGGATCAAAATTTTAATTTATATAAATTAAAATATTTTTATGGATAAATGTGCTATTTTTGCCCATCAATTTACAGTCAGTAACCCATAATGACAAAACATTTTAAAAAGTAATCAGACCCATTGCTGTGGCATGTCCAGATTGGAATCTGGTGCATAGCCTAGGATTTAGATGGCCTTCACTGTGGGAAATTGATTTTACTGGACATGAAAGAGACACCTGTGTTTATAAGGTAGTTCACACTGCATGTCAAGATAGAAACTATGCTTTGGAGTCCGAGGAACTCTCTGTAGAGCTCCACAATATAATTGTGGCGAGACACAGATTAGGGCAAGGTTATAAAAGTTTTCAGTGTGCCCAGGAGCACAGTGGCCTCAATAACTGTGAAATGGAAAAAGTTTAGAGCCACAAGAACACTAGAGTCAGCTATCTGGCCAAACTTTGTAACCAGGGAAAAAAAGAACCCGGGTCAGGAAGGTGACCAAGAATCCAACTAATGGAGCTTCAGAAGTTCGCCACAGAGGCAGAAGGGCCCTCTGGAAGGACGACCATCTCACCAGCACTACGTCAATCACGTCTGAGTTGGAAGCCATTTTTGAGTAAAAGACAGCTCACTGGGGCAGTGCCTGTAACCTGGCTAACACCAGCCCTGTGGTAAAGCAGGGTGGCAGCATCATGCAATGGGGGTGCTTCTCAGCAGCAGGGACAGGGAGACTGGCCAGAATTGAACAAAGGATTAATGCAGCCACATACAGAGATTCTTGAAGACAACCTGAGAGGGGGGGTCAAAAAAAAAAAAAAAATCTAAAAAACACTTTCACTTTGCAATGTCATTATGGGTTATTGAGAACTTGCTCCATTTAAAACGAAATACAGTGTGTGCACAAAAGTGAATAGGTCTGAGTCTGAATAAACGCCACTGTATGTGATCTTACCGTTGACTGCATGGCTTTTGTGTGTCCTTGTGTTTGTAGGCAAATGCTGTTCTGCAGAGTGGCACTGGGTAAATCCTTTCTTCAGTTCAGCGCAATGAAAATGGCCCATGCCCCTCCTGGGCACCACTCTGTTATAGGACGACCCAGTGTCAATGGGCTGGCATATGCAGAGTACGTCATCTACAGAGGGGAGCAGGTCAGTACACACGTTTTTAGGACTAGAAACTCTTCACGTCTGTAAAGCACCTTCTGTTACACTTGTGTAAGCACAGTGCAACTGTTTACATGATCAGTTTATTGGTGGATTAGGTTTTTTTTCTTTGTCTGAACAACAGTCTTCAAAATAAATGACTTTGACCATTAAGCAATTATCAGAATTGTTCATTTTCTCTTCTATTAATTAGGGCTGCACAATAAATGGTTTTGTGAGCGTGATTTAGATCCCTGCGTGATCTCATTCTGCCATCTTAGCACAGATGCCTTGCATCAAACCAAGCGCTCCCTTTTCCTTGCTAAGCTACGTTGACCAATAGCAGTAATGCGTTACATCACGTGACAAGCTGTAAAGCAGGAAGAGATGACTGAATCAAAAACAAATACAACATGTTTAACATCGAAAAAAATAGTTGCAGGATGGCACAGAATATTTTTTACAAACGTTGCACTGCCTACCCTATACAGCTAGTACTAAACAACAGTTGAGACAGAAATAAATCATTTTGCAGGTATTAACGCATCTTAGAGAGGAAGTGCTTAGTTTGATGCAAGGGAACTCGCTGCTAATGCCAAGACAGCAGAATCATTGTCACTTGAGACCGAGATCGCACATGGATTAAATCACGCAACCCTATTATTAAGTCACCATGTGATTTCAACACTAGAACTAAGTCTGACTTTCTATTTGACAGGCCTATCCTGAGTACTTGATTACTTACCAGATTGTGAAGCCCGAGAGTCTGACCACACCTGCTGCCACTGCTGAGCAGAAGTCCTAAAACACATTCACATCTGGATCAGAAAAAAGCCAGACTGCAGTGGAGTAGAACTGAACTAGAATGCCTTTCAGACCTCAAACTGATCTTGAAGTGGTGTGTTGACCAGGCAGAAGTCTGATGATCCTCAGAAACAAACGTGCATGTGACTAAAGGAGAGGGGGGGAAAAAAAAGGAGGATGAGGAGGCAGTGTCTGAGTTTTAGACTATAATACATGCACAGTCCAAAGCAGGAATCAATCAGGATCTTTAATTAATTAGGATTAATTTTGTAGGAGAAAATGCAAATCGTTTTGATTAATGTTTGTGGAGGTGTACCAGTAATCTAATTTTCATATTCGCAGGTTGCTGGCTTGATTCGGCAGACAATTAAAACAATTAGACCTAGTCCAAAAACAACAACCCTGATTTTGCACTGCTCATGTATTCTACTCTGTTTTCAAATGTGTTATTGTGATATAGTGTCGTCTTTTGGCATTTTATGTTACAGCTTGTTACATTTTCACCAGTGAGACTCGTGTAAATAAGACAAAGCTTTGTGTTCCCCTTCATGAAATGTGAGCACTGATAAGAGAGATTACTGTGGACAAATACCCTGAAGTTAGTACACAAAAAACAAACAGGAGACCATTATCTACCGCTGCCACAAGTGCAGGCAGCACATTTTCCACTACCTTCTACAGCCACAAACAAGACAGCAACAATTCAAGCCAGAGACCATACAATAAAATAAAAAAAAAACATAAAAAAAATGGTCACATAGATTTTTAAAACAGGTTTTTGTATTTACTTGGCAAGTCAAAGGCAAACACTGAAGCCGTGTGATAGGCTGAGACACCTGTCAATCATACCAGCATGCCCTAAAACATACTGCTCTCTGAGCCTTAATGTCCTTTTCATGAAAACAATGTTACAACTTGCCAACAAACATGCAAGAATGAGTTAAAATTGTCAGATAATTTGGAGGTTTTCCCAATTTGATTAGGCTAAACTGTGTGATTTGGCGTCTGTCTAGTGGTCATTAAAGGAACAGCATCATAAAGACTTTCCACATTGGCTCTGACAGGCAAACAATCTGGCTGCTGTTTGTTTCAGCTCAAAGTCCAAAGTCATTCTTATAAATACCAGGACCACAAGAGACGAGACTGTGACGTGTATGCATACAAATACACACACGCAAATGTATATACACACTTTAGATTGTTTTTGTTTACATAAAGCACTAACTTCTTGCCCCTCGCCTCACTACATGTAATTGTTGATACCCCTGGTGGGGCAACAAATGAACTGCTGGGTTGCAGTATTTAGTGAAAGAGTACAGCATACTGTATTAGGAAGACATTTAAATGAGGATGAATTTCTACACAGTACTAGGCTGTTCATTTGTGCTTTGTCTGCATTTTTATTTTTCTCCTATCATGTTTGTGTTTCAATCTATTCTGGAGCCATTATTCTTTACACTCAAACATTAAGCAAATGTGAAAAGTCAGCCTTGTCATTGTATCTTAGCAAAAGATTCAGCAG